TGTGTGTCTCCATTTCATTCACTGACTGTGGGAAGATGAGACGTGGAGATAAAGTGGGGAAATGTCATCCTTTGACATTTACGTTTTCGGAGGCATTGGCAGGCGGTGGGGGAGGTTTAGATCCTCTCCCCGAGCTGCGAGCAGCGGCTCCCCCCAGCCTCTCTGGCCCTCGGCCCCGGAGCAGGGTTTCCTGTGGCTCCAGGAAGCACACAGCCCCGCGGAGCGAGGGACAGGCCTCGGGCGGAGCCGGGCACCTGAACCCCGTTTAAGGAGCTGCCTGTCTGGACGGGAACCCCCAGCCGAGCCCTTTACGAACCGCCAGGGACCAGTCCAGCCTGGAGCAGTGGCCGTGAAGCCAGGGCTGAGGCTGCTGTGGTCACAACCGCTGGGGAAGCCGTCCTGGGCCCCAGGACCACGGGCACCGGGACGCGCAGAGCGTCTCCCGTCCGCGGCTCACGCGCTGCGGCAGCTCCTCCCCGTGCGAAGCTGCACCTTTGCACTGATCCAGGTCGGCAAATGGCCTTGTCTCCCGTGTGCATGCTGACCGAGGGCTGGTGCCCGGGCTGCTCTGCAGGGGGTGCCCAGCCTGCGTCTGGCTCGTCGGGGAGGAGTGTGCCATTTGATCAGTGATGTCTGCCCGGCAGGCATCGGAGGGGAGCGGTTCTCATGCCCGATGGTCTCCAGGCCCCATAGCCCGCCAGCCCTCCCAGCTCTGACACCCAGCTTCTGTCGGATAACCGGAAGCGCACGCAGCAATATTGCTCAGATTTGCTCTCTGTAAATATTTGGACGTCTTAAAGCCAAGAAAAACAGCCAAAGCCACGTTGCCTGTGAAAGGTCCCTCAGAGCTCCGGGCCGGGAGCCGGCTGGGCGGCTGCATAATGCGCGATTGAGTCTTGTCTGAGAGCACAGACGGGGCCTGTCACCCCCAGGTCCACGGCTTCTGCGCGCCCCGGCCCCTGAAACAGAACCACCTCCGGAAGGTGGGCTGCCGCCTCGCAGGCTGAGAAGGGCCCTTCTGTACGGTTTCGGGGTGGCCCTGAGCCTTTAAAGAATTGCTGTCAGCAGACCAGCCAGAAAGGACGCCGGAGGGATGTGTCCCAGCCGCGGGGCCTTGGATGGGGGCCTTGCCTTCGGTTTTCCTGTCTCCTAGAGAGCACGGCAGGTCAGGTCTTGGGGGGGCGGAGGGTTCCCCAGGGCGGGGCACCTAGAGGCCTTTTGGGCTCCGTTCCTGGGACACCCAGCACCCAGCGGGGGGCGTCTGTGAATTTAGCAACCGGCCACCAAGGGTCATGTTCAGGTTCCCTTTCCCCAGATACACCCATGTGTGCGTGCGCACACACATGTACACACTCACATACATGAACACACTTCAGTTCTTATGCACACTCAAGCTCATGCTCACAGAAGCATAGACATACCCATGAACATACATGCACACACATGTGCACACATACTCGCATACATGGACACCCACTTTAGCTCTTATGCACACTCAAGCTCACATGCTCACAGAAGTATGCACGCACCCATGAACATACATGCACACACATGTGCGTACACTTGCATACATGAACACACTTCAGTTCTTATGCGCACTCAAACTCACATGCTCACAGAAGCATGCACACACCCATGAACACACATGCACACACATGTGCACAATACTCGCATACATGGACACACACTTTAGCTCTTATGCCCACTCAGCTCACATGCTCACAGAAGTATGCACACACCCATGAACACACCTGCACACACATGTGCGCGCGCACACCCACATACATGAACACACACATCAGCTCTTATGCCCACTCAAGCACGCACGCACACATGAGCACACACAGGTGACCTCGTGCTCACACAATGGCGTCTCCAAGGTGAGGCAGCCACCCGCCTCCCTGGCGCCCGGTAAATCCTGTAACCGAATCATGAGCGGCTTCTTGCTGTGCTGGTGTGTGTTACACTCTGTGCTCCAGGGTCAGCCGCCTCCCTCTCCTGGCCTCAGTTTCCCCACGATCAGTGTGGAGCCCGATGCCCGCTAGCCGCCCGTCGTGTTGAAGATCATGGAATAACTGCACGGGGACTTGCGGTGCCGGGGTGGGTGGTAGCTGTGTGTCTGGGGCAGACTGGCCGGGACTCAGGGCGGGGCCCCCGGGGAGGAGTGGCCATGGTCGTCCGGAGCCGGTCACAGCTTCCTTTCTGACGGCTGCTGGTCTGGGACACCGCCAGGACCCCTCACGCTCTCTGCACCCGCACCGGCCGCCCGCGATCAGTGCACCCAAACGACCCATTCTGCGCAATAATTACAAAGTAGGTGTCGGCCTCAGCACTAGTTTGCTGTCCCCCCCAAGGTGAAGTGTGCGCGTGAACAGTCCTCTGCTTCTACAAGACCTTGTATTGCTGCTTTATTTTATTTTACCTTAAATATATATATACTAGAGGCCCGGCGCACAAAAATTTGTGCACTCGGGGGGGAAGGGGGGGTCCCTCAGCCCGGCCTGTGCCCTCTCACAGTCTGGGACCCCTCCGGAGATAACGTCCTGCTGGCTTAGGCCTGCTCCCGGGTGGCAGAGGGCAGGCCCAATCCCTAGGTACAGCCCCTGGTCGGGCTCAGAGCAGGGCCGATTGGGGAGTTGGGGCGCCGCCCCGTCATGCACAGAGCAGGGCGGATCGGGAGGTTGCGATGCCACCCTCAGTCACGCTCAGGGTAGGGCTGATTGGGGGGTTGGGGCAC